TGGACGCCTGCCAACAGCTGGCAGGACATTGCTTGGTTTTTCATGTTGTTGCTGCTACCGTTATTATTGTCTTGGCAATGCCAACACCAACACCAACGATTGCACGTAGACTCGTTGGCTGCGAGTGCGACTGCGACTGCGAGTGCGAGTGTTTGAGTAATGTACGTACATACTAGCCACATTACATTCCAGTCAGGTGCGTTGTGAATTTTGCTGCAACAGTCATTATAATAATGCCACAACGAAGTGTGCTCGGAAATAATAATCAGCTCGAGCCATACACCCACTTACCCATGCTAAGAGCTTTCCACGGAATGACGGAAGCTTTGTGCGATTTTCCCTTGTGCATGGCACTTAAAATTTCATTTAAATATGCTGCCCCATATAAAGTCCTTAAATGTGCAATCTTCCAACGATGTCTCTCTGTATGTGAGTGTGTGTATCTGTATCTGTGTGTGTGTGTGTGTGTGTGTGTGCCTCAAAACTGCAATAATCTCTAGAAATAATACCTTTAAGTGCATCATTAAATGAAGTTTTGCACGTTGGCTTTCTTAGCCCAGTTATGCAGTTTGTTGTTGTTCGTGAAAGTGGGGGAAAGTACGTGTTAACATTTAGCACGTTTATATGCAAGCAATTTAGAAAACGCCATTAAACGCATCCCAACTATGGTAAATGGAATTGAGAGTATTGGGGAAGGTATGTTTATGGTGAAAATATATCCAGAAAACAAAGCGGCGCATTTAAAGATAGTGGAACCGCTTGAAGCTTGTTAATTATTTTTATTATTTAGTTATAAATATCTTATCTTATCAGATCTAACAGCATTCCAAAATATGAATACTCAATTAAGGAACGGGTAAAAGAGCAGAGTAGTCTCGATTCCGGAATGCTCTGCACCATTTCCAATCAACCTAAATAAACCAATCATTTCTATGGCAGCTACATATGTAATATAGACAGCCGATTTTTATGTACCTTCACACCCGATTTGCATACTAAGTATAATTTTAGAAAGCAGTTGACGAGTTTGTAAAATTGCCAAAATGGATAACCAAGGGCGTAGGCAGCTTTTACCAAAGGGGGGGCAAAAAATTAAAGTTTTCATTAAATAATGCACGATGCATTTAAAAAATATCTTATGCATATGATCAATAAAAAAACCTCAACAAATCCAACTCAGATCCATTTTAGGGCGAAATAGTGCGGAGGCAACGCCCCCCTCCCCCCTGTCTACGCCCTTGTGGATAACAGAAGTCATGGTGGTTACCATATTTGTAACAAATAAGTGAGTAAAGATTTTTTCTTTATTTCACTGAATTAAATTAATGTTTAATGGTTTTCAATCTACTGTATTTAAGTAAACAGAAAGAAAAAACTCATAAGCTCATAACATGGTGTCTACCACAACTTCTTCTAGTTCTTCTTCCAGTTAATAATAAGTTATTTTCGACATTAAAAAGTTTTGAACATAGTGGCATTCTTAAACTATGGAAGTGCGTAGAGTAGAATCATAAAAACCACATTCTTATTCAAATGTTGTTACTATTTGCAACCGATTGGGTGGCCGAGTCTGAAATGGGTTTATTATTGTTGAAACGCTTAAGTTAATGGCCCTTTTGCTTTTGCCTGATTTTTGAATTAACCCAGTTGGCATTTTGAATTAATTGATTTTGTAGAAATTCGTTCCAATCACCAATTTGTATTGCCACAGACAGCACCTCACTGTTATGCAAACACACGTTAAGCTAATTGCTTGCACATATCAACATATAATAAAGGTTTTTTTTACTCATGTAGCTTGGCTTGACAAGCAAATTTTAGCCGTCATTTGCCATTCAAAGCTACCCTCTGGTTATTTAACAAATGCATTTCTCATGCACGGCGTCGGGGGATCCCATTTACATAGTTTGTTTGGTATGTTTGCGCATTTATTTATGAAATTTTAGCAAACACTAAATGCGCGCAATCAACAGATTGTGATTAAAAACAGATTTGCTGCGATTTTGCATTGCAACGAGCACAAAAAAGGAACAGACAGCACATACACACTCGTACATACAATTGTAAATACAACTGAGCCGCTTAGTCGTATAAATGAATTGAATTTCACAGTCGAAATTGTTGCAGGTTGTAAATCTTTTGTTATCTATTTTTATCCCCCACCAAGGACCAATCTCCATATGCTCCATAACTGTGTCATATTCAAATGGGTTTGACTTTTCTTTGCCGCGGCAGAAACTTTTCAATTAGCATACAAATTACCAAGCCCCGAAAAGTTAATGTCAATCAAAGTTTTTAATTTTAATTTGCATTAAAATTATGATGACATTTAATTTCCATTTCCATTTGTTGGCCGCGTCAAAAGCATTTGCATAACATTTTTGTGTGCCACTCGCACCCATGCAGATAATAAAGTGTAACTTTTTACAAACACATTTGCATAAATTCAACATATATAAGGGCAGAAAGTTGAAAAGAAAATCTGAGCACACAATACAAATATGAATCATACGCCATGTGTGCCATTAATTATTAGAACAGAGCCGCATGTTCCGTTGCCATTTGGCAATGGAAATCTCCCTTAAGAAACACAAGCACATACAAATACGGTTTTATTTATGTAAAAAGTTTATGTGCATTGACAAAAGCAATCGACAGCCCAAGTCGATACCAAATTGTATATAGGAATAAATACGTGTGTCGGCGAAAGAATTTTGTGTTTCGAATCTACCAAAAAAGAACGTGTAAGACTAAAATTTGTAGATGAATTAAATCAAGTATGTTATATCAAAAATATGCAATGTCTTTCTAAGCAAAGAAGGTTTTTTTTTCTTTAAAAAAGTATGGCTCCACTTAACTCATAGAATAATTTTAAAAAATTCAAATTCCACTTCTCTGCCTTCTCACATTTTCAGCACAAATCGCCTAATGATTTCATCAACAGAGCAACCTTCTTCGATCTATCAATATTGTTGCTTTTCGATTACGCATGCTTATTTATGTTTAATCGACTAAGTAAATTAATGGCTTTAAAGTATTTAGTCTTATTTTCTAAACAAAGCAACCTTTTTAGCCCAATCAACCAAGTATTAAGAAACTTGCTTGATAGAAGAATACGATTTCCAATTTTCCATTACTTACACGATTGAACAAAATTATTTAGAGGAAGTTTATTCTTATCAAAAGCTGCTCTAACAGCTTTATCAATAGCCGGATTGGGCCCTTTATCTACTGTAAAGACCATTCCCGATCCTATTGAGGAGAACAAAAACTTTACTAACAACTTACATAAAAGTCTGCAATACTCACTAAAGTGGCGGTTGAATTCTAGATAAAAAGTATAGATTACGAAGTATTTTTTATCATCCGTACTAATGGTAACAACGTCAGTGGTAATTCGGTAGGGTACGAAAAATTGGACGGGACTTGCAGTGCGGAAATAGAAACATGATTAACCTGAAGATCTTTCCCTGGACCGTAGACTATAAATACGTGTCGTTAAAAAGTTGGAGTTTTCTTTTATCAAAATATTTTGCAGCAATACCAACATTTTCCTTTAATAGCCGGAGTATATATTTACACAAAAACACAGCAGGTCCCGAGAAAGATAGAATCAACCAAAGTATAACTAGAATGAACCACTTTAGATGATGAAATGATAATTTAGCTTTAAATATACTTCAGCTTTAACATTGCATTGCTTTTGGGAAGCCACCATTTAACTAAGTAGTTTGATTACTTGAGAAGAATGATTAAATGGTTTATTGCCTCCCTAAATGGCTCTTATGTGCGTGAAATATGACGAAATATTGCATTACAATGGCTATAGTAGGGATTCACTATAAAGAATCGTCAAATTCTCATTTGCAGGTCTTTTAGATTAAGTTAAGTTAGTTGTATGTCAATAGTTGAAAAATATACGAGTATTGACAATTTTCTTACAGCTTTCAGTTTTGTTTTCTGTTAAGGATTTTGAATGGAATTGTTTTGTTTTTAATTCATTTGGATTTTTCAAATACATATACAAGTATAATAAATCAAATCAACAAAAGTGTAAGCAAGTTCCGTAATGTTTCAATTAATTAAACAAGTCCATGGTGATAATTGTTTATCTCGTGGCAGAGGGAAAGAGGTGGTGGCGGGAGAATAAGAACATGTTCAATAAACATATCCAAACCAAATCCGGGATCGAAAAGGAGAGCGAATTTATTTGAAAATTGATATGAAATTAACGCAAATAGAATTAATACAAAGGTCCAAATTAACGATTCATCCCAAGCAACAGGTATGTTCTTGCTTTGTCCCACACTAATTTATTATAAGTAAAGATAAGAAAAAGTTTGTTTCCAAAATCACTTTCCATCGGCTTTAAATATAAATATTCATTAGTTTTTGAAGCCAACAATTAACAAGTAGTTTCTGAAAATTACAAAAGTAATGCTAATTGCTGTCACATAAGCAGTCGTATCCGGATGGGGTGGACGCCGACTGTTCCCAAGAACACTTCTATATTTCTGAGCTAAGTATTGTGTGTATGTGAGTGTGAGATAGAGAGACAGAGAGAGAGAGAGAGAGAAAAGTATGAGATAAATACTCAAAATAGTGCAAACATGATAAGCAACTGGAGCAGGTGAGAGCAGAGCGCGACTACGAGAGGCGGCAATCAGCTGATATTAGAGGCAAGTATCTGTAAGATGCGCGGATACAAATGTATTTATGTATGCAAGAGTGTGTATGTTTGTGTGTAGGCTTGCTCGTAGAAGCGAAAACGACAATGACAACGACAACTTTGTTGTAATTGAGCTGTGAGCGATACGCTAAAGACGCGCTGATATTTAAAGTAAATAGAAGCGGACAGCAAACACGAGTGGCTAATGTGTGAGATGAAGGCGGAAAATGTCATTGTTATAGCCGCGGCTGCGATATGAGATCTACGACTTATCACCACCATTATAATCGTGCGCGTTGCTCGATTCGGACGCGTACTGACCGACAGCCGAAATGTATCCCCAAGTGGACGTACCCGCCGAGCTCGAGCCAAAGGCCACAACTGTGCGCCTCCTGCCCACAAAACAAGTTCAAGATGCCACCGATGATGTGGTTGAGCCTAAGCCGAAGGCTAAGCCGCTACCCAAATGGAAGCGCACTCTGCAACGGCACGTGCCCATTGTCAACTGGTTGCCAACCTACAACATGGAATGCGGCATTGATGATTTCATTAGCGGCATCACATTGGGGCTCACCATAATACCCGAGAGCATTGCCTGCGCTCTGCTCGCTGGCTTGCCAGCACGGTACGGCCTCTGCTCGGCCTTTATTGGACCGCTAATCTACGTTCTGTTTGGCTCCATTGATAAGGTTATCATTGGACCCACCAGCTTGGTGGCCCTTGTAAGTCTACAGTTTACCGTTGGCCGACCGATCGAGTTTGCCATTCTTCTCACATTTCTCAGCGGAATCGTCCAAATAATTATGGGCACAATGCGAATGGGTGAGTGTACGAGGGGCTAGGGGGGCGGGACGGCAATTACTTGCTCCAGTGCAAGTATTTGAACATTTCATTGCCAGTGCCAATTGAATTAAGTGTGATGCTTGAAAATAGGTTTCCTTGCCTTCTCCTCCATATCTGAGACGACACAGTTCTGTACAGTTTGGTTTTCTTATTATTGTTATGATTATGATGTCATTGGGGATCGATCGAAGCACGAAAACAGCTGTGCCACAACTATATCTACTACTAGTACAGATGACACATTTGTTTATGCTATTTGCATTTTCCCGCTGTACACAAAACTTGTTTATCATTTATCATCAAAAGCTCTAATCTATCGGCTCGATCATCTAATTATGTCTGGCTGTCTGTCAAAATAAACAACTGATTAAAACTAGATATAAATATTGTTGCCAAGAAAGAATTTTGCTGTGAATACCATTTCAAATTTCATCATCCATAAATATTTAAAATATCACAATCATCTGGTTTACTTTGTTTATCGAATATTTCACTCGAACTAAAAAAATTAGGGTGATTTAGAAGTAGACTAGCTTAATTGGCAACTCAAATAATCAATAAGGTGACAATTCTTTGCTGCCTTTTATTTCTTATAGATGTACATACTATATATAGACAGTTATTAACCCATATTCTGCAATCTTCCACGAAATGAAGCGAAAGCTTAGCTTCAACATATATAAAGGTCCAATGACAATCTTCAGTTTAGAGTTTCGTATAAAAATGTTGTGATTTTTTCAAAACATGCATTGGAGGTCAAATTAATATTTAATGTGTTCATATGTAACTAAAATAAATCCATACCTTTCACGGCAAAGTGAAACTCTATACTGTTTGTAGTAAAGAGCAAGCAAACCATCACCTACGACGAATCATTTTAGACTCATTTCTCTATTTTTCACTATCAACATGCAACCAATACAAGTTCAAAACTATATATTAATGCATAGCCTTATAATTTGATAAAGAAAATAATGAGATAATTTTTTTGAATAACTATTCATTAATACAATGATACAAGTGCCAATCGATAAATAACTTTTAAGTGTACATCGAAGTTTTGAAGCTACTGAGCTGAGCTAGCCCAGGAATTAACAGAAGTTTCATGCAAAAAACTTACCACAGATCAGTTTTGGTATACATTGTATCCATGGTGGGAATTTGGACCGGAGTACCTAAAATATTTTAAAAATATAATTTACGTAAGAAACACTTACTTAAAGTAAAATGAAATACGATTTTTAAAATGTTGTGTTGGAAAGTTTCAAGATAATGGCTAAGATTAATCCTGATAACTATTTAGTGGTCACATATTTGAAGCTAATTTTTTATTTTTATCAAATCTGAAAATATCAAACTGTTAATATGCGTTCGAGGCAAAGCTGTCTTCGGCTTAAATCTAGGTTGAAAGGGTTAAAGTCCGTCTGGACTTGACATTGCACCTAAGTCTTTTTTCTTGGACATTTCTTCGGTTGTTAGATCTACCGATCTTCAATAAATTGACCTTTGAAAACTCGTTGAAGCCGTTAAGAACGTTTTATATCGATAGTGCGTAGATCAGCTTGAAAGAATGCCAACTTTCTCCAGAGAACGTATCCATTTTCAAATGCTCTTTATACTCCACAATTCTCAGTCCGCCTCATATTTTCCTACCTTATCTATTACCAGCTAGGGATGGGTTAACTGTGAACAACAATACTGATCTTCTTCAATATCATCTACATTGATGTTTACTTTCCTTGAAAATCGAATCACTCAACTCGCGAGTGTAAGCAAATGTGTGCATCTGTATATGTAGTTCAAATATAATTAGCACTTAATTTATACGTTTAAGACCTCAACACGTCTGTCTCCACATCCATCTATACATATGCATATAGTACTGATATGCAGGTCGAATATGTGTATAATATTAGCACTTAATTTGCAATTGCAAAGGCACAGGGCTTGCCTCATGCTCGGCGACAACTTAACAACAATTCGAGATTAATTTATTGCAGGTTTCATATTCGAGTTTATATCGATGCCCGTTATAAAGGCCTTCTCCTCGGCGACCGCAGTGCTGGTAATTGAGTCGCAAATCAAAGTGTTGTTGGGCATCAAGTATTTGGTGGCCGGCCTGCTCAGCTCCGTCAGTACACTGACCTCTAGAATCGATGAGGCGAACATGCCCGACTTGATAATGGGTGTGTGCGCCATTGGGTTTCTAGTGATGTTTGAGGTTAGTATTAGAATTGATTGCGAAAATTAGACGGCCATTCAAGTAAATCTCACAGCTCCTCGAAAGGGTGGCACACAACGAGAAACTCGACCGGAATCTGCGCATCTGTTGCCGCTATTTGTCCACCTCTCGGAATACGTTGATTGTGCTTATTGGAGGCATTGTTACGTATATTTGGCTGGGAAACTCGGAGCGGGTTCCCTATGCGCTCAGCGAGAATACGATGTCCAGTCTGCCGAACTTTACGGTGCCGGATTTAAGCATTGAATCGCCGGAGCGCAGCTACACCTTCTGGCAGGTGCTGTCGGAACTGAATGTAGGCATCATTATCATTCCAGTGGTGGGCATATTGACGAACATATCCATTGGCAAACTGAGTGGGTACCCAACGATTCCTGGTATAGTCTGGTATAGGGAGTGGCATTTATTGGGATTGTCTCTTTGCAGCACCCAAGGGCTTGGTGGACACTAATCTCGAGCTCTGCACCCTAGGCATGTGCAACATTTTCGGCTCCTGTGTGCAGGCCATGCCCTCCTCTGGCGCCTTCACGCGTTATGCCATCAGCACGGCGTGTGGCCTGAAGACTCCGCTGGCCAATTTGTATTTGGGTAAGTGAGAAAGTTTGAAGCCAGACCGGCTTGATGCATTACGAGCATTATTTCAGGCGCTATTGTGCTGCTCGCTCTCGGCTTCCTCAGCCCCTACTTCAACTACATACCGAAAGCAACGTTGGCGGCCATCCTAATATGCTCGATTTTCACGCTCTTCGATTTTAAGCTGCCGATGCGTCTGTGGCGGGAGTCCAAACGGGACTTCTGCACGTGGATGCTCTGCTTTTGTGTGTGCGTGCTGTTTGGGGTCGAGGTCGGCCTCTTTGTCAGCATCATTGTGACCGCTCTGCACTTGTTGTTCCTGTGGGCGCGTCCCGAGCTGGTCGTGAAGATCCAGGAACTGGATGAGCTGCAATATATTTGTGTGACGCCGGGCAACGGTATCTACTTTCCGGCCATTAATTATTTACGCGAGCGCGTCCTCAAGGCCTGCGAGCAGGCGGAGTTCAAGATCACAGTCGTTATTGATGGGCACAAGATCACCGGATTGGACTACACAGCTGCCCAGGGTATTTCCAAGCTATCCAGCGATTTGTGCCGCCAGGCGGACGCGTCGAGCAGCACGCTGCTGATCCTTTATCGCTTTCCCGTCGAGCTTCAGCGCATGATTGATCTCACCGAGAATTTGGTCTTTTGCGAGAACGAGGCTAGAGTGCGGGAATTCTTGACTCAGGAATCGCTACGCAACGGCTTCATTAACCTCAAGGAACACATACGCGCCTCCATCGATCTGGGATATGCCGTCGATATAGAGTAGCATTTAATCATAAGTATTGTGTATGATGTCTCACCTCCTGTATTAGCTCTTCTTTATTTATTTCAAGGTAATTCGATTTGCTTTGAACATTTCAATTCGCAAATGCATTTCTTTGACTCACCAACACACACACACGCACGCGAATTTGTTTTCATTCCGAACACATGCTGAGTGCCTGGGCTGGAGGTTTGCTTAAAATAACAAAAATACACACATTTGCGAGCATAAATACAAGCATGTATATATGGATATAGCTGCCCGTGGATGTGCGCCAAAAGCAAACACGGGAAGTCCGCAGAACGCTTGCAGCAAAATCTGGCAAAACAGAAATACTATGCAAGGTACGAACGAGTCGTAAATGCTCTTGAAAACTCAAGGTACTGCAATTTGTAGAAAGAGATGGAGAGAGTATTTTCCTAGTAGGTCAACCAGCCTGATTGGAAAAATAGATTCAATCTTTGCTGGTGTGAAAACAAGTTTTACACGAAATGTTGACAGTTGACAGGTGGACGTTTCGTCTTCTTCTTCACATATCTCATATATCGATTGTTTCAGGAAATCCCTGTTGCTGGCAACTCAAAATGAACACGATATTGATTTCGGTCCGATTTGGCTGAACTGTTAGTTGGAGATTAACATTTTGTTAACCATTAAATTAATAATGTCATTCTTAAAGATCATAAAAATAATTCCACTTCATCCATTCATATACTACACTGTTCTGCTTATACATTTCATAGCTTTAATTAGATTTGAAATTTTAATGCTCAGCTAAGGATGCGATTTGTCTCTTCTTTTCTCTACAAAATATTTTTTACTTTAGATTGTTTTAAATCTAAAAGGATTACTCTGTGGGATGATCAACTATTGAAATGTCATTTAAACTTTAGCAAATCACGCCTAATTTTCCAATTACATATATCTAAATACATCAGCTGAACAAGTCAGACGAGTGCCTACACATATCTAAAACACTCAATCGAACCAGTTTAAAAATCTTTAGTTTAAAGCTAGTGAAGTGCTTCATCCGATTACTGATTCTAGATATAAATACATATAATTGATATATAGGACAGCTGGAAGGAAGTTAATATTTAAATAGCTTCTTAATCCCTAACATAGAGAAATATTCTGCACTTATACAAACAGTTTTTTAATTTTATTTTTAAACATGTTCTCTATAAATTATTTTTGAAATTCATACTAAAATTCATAATTGCAAATTTTCATTCTCAATCACAAAGATTCCTCCAAGATTCTCCCCGAAAGCTTTTCTAAAGGAAGTCACAACTACTCCCTAATAGTCCCGACAGAATAGATAGTACAAACTTTATAATAATTATACCTTAAAAAATCTTGTTGCTTGGCTGGATCATCGCAAGTTCCTTTTTCTACACGATTCGATATACATATATCTATAGTTGTAGGATAGGAAGTAACAGCACAATAAAATAATTATAATTCTTAATTGCTTTCGACATAGTTAAGCAAACCATTCTTGTACATGCAGTATACATTTAAATACTAAACTTATCATTAAATATACAAGTATATTGCACTTATAGTTCATTAAATAAGATGAATTTGTGTTAAGCCTCCATGTACTCATATATCTATATTTTTATTTTTATATCGATCGATTTCCTAGGCATTACAAATCGGTTCATTCGGTCGTATGTACGGCTATAAGTTGTTAGCATAGAATACAAGCGAAGAAAAAAGTGGGACAAATGCGCTGATGGCAGCAATTTATAAAAGCCACACTGACCTCTGCTCACTCATTTGTACTGAAACACACACACACACACACATAGACACCCACACACATACGTACAAGGCGGAGGGAGGGGAAGGCAACCATTGTCGCCGCCATTGCCGCCGTCAATGATTGCCAAGCTAATGGATTTCTGTTTACTTTTTCACTTAGAACGCAGCACGAAGCAACAGTAGGGAGGGTGGGGTGTAGGGAAAACCAGAAGAAAATAGAAAACTTGTGAAAAATAGCGCAAAGAAATTAGAAAAGAAAAAAGCGAAAGCGCAACACAAACCAAACCAAACCAAACCAAGCCAGAACCAAAGCGAGGCAGCCAGCCAGTCGGCCAGCCACCCATAATGCCAGTGAAAAACTGTAAGAAATTAAACTAAAATCCTGGCGTAAAGTGGATCAAACTGAGAAATCCTAGGCGGAAAAAACAGCACCAGGACAGAGTGCGAGTGCTAGTGCGAGTGCGAGTCTGGAGTCGGAGGAGAAAAGGAAGAGAATAAAAACAAGCGCAAAGCAAGTTAATTACGTAAGGTTAAGCGCCGTCGCCGTTAACCTAAGTAGATTTCAGGCACTTGAGGCGTTGTAAATGAAATGCGGCGCCTCGTCTATTGCCAACCCGCCTGGCCGCGCCGTGCCGCGTCCATGCCTCGTCCGCGCCCACGCCTCTTCCCGCGGCTCTACTTTTTCCCACTGCGGCTCCTACACTTTGCACTTCGAGCAGTCGCGCTTTGTTGATTGCATTGGCAAACGAAGTGAGCGGATTTTAATGAAATTTAAAGCTCTGTCCAGCACATCAGAGCATCTCAAGCAAGCGTCTCGACCTGCAGCTTTTCCAGGTGATTTTCCCCAACTGCGCTGCCGGCCATGCAGATTTGCAGCGTGTTTCTCCAACTGACTGTAATTATTTGAATGGAATTTATTTGCCAGCCACTCGCACTGACTTGTGTCTTGAGCGGTTTGCCACTCAGAGTCGCCCCTGGGCTGCCGTTCGGCATTTGGAAGCACTGTGTTACGCTTAATGAGCTTAATGGTTGGCTTACATTTTCAATTTTCAGCAAAATTCCCATTGAATTTCGGGTAATCGATATTGTGCAAAGCAGCCGCTATTATAAGTATACATTATGCTGTTAGGTAGCTGACAGATGGACAAATGTTAAACTATAAGAAGCTTATTATGGCTTTGCATGCTTCAACGCATATATGGAATGAATGGTCTACGGAACTTGAAGATTATTTCATTACTCAAGCATTTAATTTGTATTCAAAATAAATAATAGCCACAACAAGTAAAGGCGTAATACTTGATTTTAAAATGATGTTTGAAATTAGTTTCTTATTAGGAGAAACGTTGCAGTAACAAGCGATAATTTCAACAAAAATTTAAATGCTTGAGTAATTTATCACATAAGCTCTGTTATTAATTTCATAAATTTTCGTAAAATCAGCCTGTGTATGTTTTATTTAAAAGCATCTAAGTATATAATTACACCTGGTATGGTAAACAAATTGGTTTAACCTTAAATTTATATTTTTAAATTAATAATAATTCGAGCATAAACTAACTGGCATACCAGACAGACTCGGAAAGGCCATACAAATTTGTCATACTTCATAAGAAAATATCTCTCAAAAAGATCTCTCACGCTCATCCATTCGTCCATAAAACTGTCAACTTTTACAAGTTTGAACATATTTTAATCTGTTACTAATCAATTCTTAATTTAAATCCGATGATCAAACAAAAGAAGTAAAAGGCAACGAACAATTAAAATTAATGACATCAAAAATTGAAGACTTCAAAGAGTGGGGTTGACAATATTATATACGCTTTTCGAGGAAATGGTCGAAATAACTAAGGCAATAGAAAATAGAATGCTTTCCAATGCTGACTAAAGAGCTAAAGTTCTATTCAAATAGTGATGACGAGTGCTTCACATTTACAAAACAGAAGGAGAAACGCCCAATTAATGAGCCTTGATAGAAAATGCGCTTACATTTTTCAGAAAGATAAGAAATTAAATTTGAAAGGACCAGTCGAATGTAATGATTTTTCAGGATTAAAGTCGCAGTCGCATTCGATTATTGGTACAGCAGTAATGTCTAGGGGGTATAAAATAATTCTATATTTTGCACAGCAATTTATTTGAATCATACAAATATGTTATAAATTTAATGTTATCCAAATTAAAACTAATAACAGATCTACGATAGTATGCATTTTCCGTAGTGCACTTTTGGTTTCAAAGCCTGATTTTAAAGATAAATATCCTTTAAAATGACTTGCCCGTTCTAATATAATATGTAAATAAATATTTTATATTTTACTTCTTATTAGTAAAACGAACACTTTAGCCATTTGTCGATTAAGTAACAGCAATTTATACAAGGAATTGATTGATTGCAACAAATAGAATCAGAACAAGTGGAAATAAGAAACAATTACATTTTTTCGGGGTAAACTAATAAATGTAAATTACTTTATTATTAAATTGAGCAAAAATTTGCAAAACATTTTAAAACTGGACCAATTCAAATGTGAATATCAATTTTCTATTATCAATAGTTGTGGTTCAACAATCAGAACGAAATGAAAAATTCAAAATTTGAGTGCATTTTTTGTTGCGGCCAGCGTGTTGACAAAGCAAACAGTAACCAGTTACAACAACAACAATAACAACATTTGACACAAAAACAACAGAGCAGTTGGCATGAAAGCCAAACCAAAAACCGAAAACCAAAACCACACACGCTATTTGAGCTAAATATGCATAATTTTTAATATTTCATGATACAATAATAGAACGAGTTTTTGCGAGAGCCGGCAGAGTCTAATAATATTTATTTTCACATGTGGTTGGCAAACGTAAAAACCATCATCATATCGTGCAGTTTTGTTGCCTCGATTTTGCCTAACAAATTAAATTTTCATATGAATTACTGTGCTGGTCACGTTCCACGCTCCACACTGATGGCCAATGGATAGTGGATGGGGATGGGGATGGAGATGGGGATGGGATGCAGGTTGTAGCTTGTGTGTTGTGGGTGTGAGTTGCGTCTGTCTGTCTGTCTGTCTGTCTGCTGGTACATGTCCATTCATTGATACGCATTATGTGACCGACGTGCTGCCTCCGTGTTTGTGTGTGTGTGTGTTTGTGTTTGTGAGCGTGTGTGTGTATGATGGCTGCTGGTCAGTATTAAATGGCAATGCTGGAACTTAATTGCGGCGCCTTTAAATGCGACAAACGGCAAAAAGAGATAATTAATAGCATGAGAGTTGAGGGGAGGCCTGGGCAAGGGCGTAGGCTCGTTTATCGATTTTTGGCCAAAAACTCATGCCTGCGGCCACAGCAGCTTTTAGTCAGACCCGAC